ACTACACCTGCATGCTATGGCTTGGTTAGAAGAAAGCACCCAAACCAAAACACAGCACTGCCATATAATTCTCCCCTGTGAGCTGGGATTGAGTGTGATTTTCCCTAAGAAACTGCATGCACATCGAGTGAAAGAAAACAGGAGAAGCCAAAATCTGTTTAAGTATTTAAAGTCGAAAAAGCTGTGTGCAATCCTGACCTCATAACCAGCTGTGCCCCCCAAACTGCTTGTGTCTGTGCAGCCACGCCAAGGAGCAGTGACCAGAGTCATTGCCTCTGGATGCACCTGCGACTCACCTGCTATAGCAAATGAGGGGAAAAAAAGACATTAAATTGATGTCAGAGCATAATGTACCAAGTGCTTTCACTTCTGAGATCCAAAAAGTGCCATGGAGAGGACTCAAGTGAAAGAATACATCTTTGGGCACTTGGTATTACAGCAAGCAGCAGAGAATTCCACACTTAACATTTCTGTGGCTGCAATCCATTTTAGCTCACACTTAGCACAATGCCCAAGGGTTCTGAGAAAGGCCTTAGACTGTACAGCTTTGGGTATTTACAAGCAAGTTGTTAGGGATGTTTACTGGAAATGAAGTAGCTCAGTTTCAGCCCTTATAGTGAAGCTGATGTTTACCTTTTTTGGTTTTTAAATTTTCTTATCCCAAACAGAGAAAATAACAATTCTCATTCATACTATATCTGCTTCTTTAGCAGTCCTACACTGACAAAAAGACAAACTAACACAACGCTGGTGGTGAACAATGGAAACCATTCTCCAATCACATAAGGTGCTTCTGATTATAAAGAGGGCAGCAGAGGAGACACAGAAGTCACACCTTGTTACCTGTCTTGGTGCAAAGCAAGGGGAAAAAAATAATCAAATAAAGGAATACAAAGGGGAGAGGGGAAAAACTCCACAATCTCCATTCTACTCAGTAAATGAGAAATACATAAGGTTGGTAAAAAGACAACACCAGTAGCTTAATGTTAAACACTGTGTAGTCATTACATAAGGCCAACAGTGCCATATATGTCTTCAAAGACTTTCCTTTTTAAAGGATGAAGGATTAAAACAATATATTTATTTCCACTTTACAGGGTTCACCTGTCTGACAAGTCACCTGTCTTCCTGCCAGTAGGAAAGCTCAGTGGCCATGGTGAGAAGTCAATGAAAAATCATTTATCTGGAATGGACTTTTTATTTTTGTCATCCAAACTTCTTTGTAGGTGTTTAGTCATTACTATATTCTATGTAACAACCATGTTTTAACTAGTGACCATTCATAAATGTTGCCACTGAGGGAAACAGACCTCAATGACAGCAATCCCAGTTTGAACACAGAGTTTTGTGTGTACTCTGCACTTCAAGGATAATACAGTGCTACCAAAAAGACAACACATCTAGGCTCCTTCCATTGTTCCTTGTGTTGTTGTTTTGCTTTTTTAAATTGGTTGCTTCCCTATCTGCTTCCCAGTTTGCAGGTAGGAGAGTCCAATGAGGTCTCACTACATGAGGTGAAAGGAGCTAAGTCCTAACATTTACAAAATTGCCAGGAAAACAAAGCCAAATCTTCAGTGAGCCTCAAGGGCTGTACATTCCTCCAGACACTATGCTCTTAATAATGCTTCAGGATTTATAAACACTCTCTCAAACCAGTCTCACTGCTTCTTGGCCCTGCTGTCAAGCCAATTCCCTTTCACACATCACAGTCTGTGTCAATGGAGGCAACACAAGGGTCTCCAGTGGTCTGAGCCTCTTCTAAAGACATGGAAAGAGAGAATGGCTTTAAAAGCATCTTTGTTTAGGTGCTGAGCGAAGAGGGAAAACTTGCCACATGAAGAGAAGGGACACATCTAAGCTTCATGTGTGCTATATTTTTAAGTATTCTCACAATGAATTTGAAAGATGCCTTAGAGAGACAGGGATGATTTGATAGTGAAGGTTTGGATTCAGAGAGGAGGAAAAGAGCTGTCCAGTTTCTTTACGTGCATGTGAAGTGAGTCACTGCAGGGTTACCCACGGTGGTTTAATCCACTCTACAGTGAAACTGCATGTCTATTCGGGCTGGAAGGCTTAACTTTTCAGTGTTGTCATGGACAGAAGATGTCAGTAATGGATTCACAGCTGCAGGTGACACAAGCCTTAGAAATTCAATTAGCCAAAAACCACATGGCTGAGGAAATGGCTTTCCTAGGTTATGTCAAGGGAGATCATGGGAAGAACCATATTTGGCATGTGGCTGTTCAGTATGACTGGGGCCAAACAGTTTAAATAAAATGTGTAGAACCATGTTCCCAGTTGCTGAGAGGAAGATGAAAGAACAGCAGAGCTGCTGTTCTAGTTCTATTCACTGTCAGGGTCATTGCAGAGCAAGAGCCTACCTGCAACTCCTGTTTCACCAACAACTAAAGGGAGGGATGACCTCTCAGCCAAAGGATCCTCTGATCAGCCTTCTCAAGATCTTTTCTTTGTGTGAATCTTTCATCTGCCTGCAGCATAGCTCACTGGATGTTTCCTAAAAGCAAACCAGCTCAGCCCTGTTCCTCAATCACCTTTCTTGTACTGTACGTCCAGCACACACAGGGCATATATCCACATGCGCCACCTCATTGTTTCTTCCTCTTCCCTCTCCAGGCTTCAGCACTGAAGCACTGTATTATCAAATAGATGTTATTCATTGAGACCAAACAGAAGTGAGCAAATGTGACAATGACAAGACTCAAACAAGCAGAAAATGAAGTAATGAATTTTTCACTAGAGCTTACAGGGTCATTATCCAAAATGCCTATGCACGGAAAAGCCAAGAGGCCACAGCCTAAAGATTCCTACCTCAAAGGAGGATCATTCACCATATTCACAAAAAAGGGTCATCTGTCAGCTTTGAAATGTACTAAGCATATAATTAAAAGCAGGGTCTTGTTTGTGCAAAAAACTTTCTTTTGTTATCTTCAATTCCCTTTTTACTGTGTTCTTACTTTTCCACAGATCTAACAGAAGGAGCATAAGTAAGGCAGCTTAGGACTTTTATGGACGTTTGGCCTCAGACTCATGTGCTCAGTGAGAAAGAAGTTTCCTTCAGCATGCAGCATCACACTGCCCTATCGAATTTCATACTACACTAGAGATACAGGAGATGTCAGAAAAACTGTGGGGATGGGAAAAGAGATAAGAAAATAATGCAGATGAGAAAATAAGATTAGGCAGAAGAAGATGCCCTGCACTTGTTGACTTCTCCCCCAGGGAGTGAAATATCTGGTCAAGCAAATAAGGAAACGCAGACCTCGATTATCTTCCTGTTTTGAGGCATGATGCGCAATGCCAAACCTACTTGGAAGCAAATAAAGTCTCTCAGCATGAAGTATTTCCACAGCTTCTCAACAATGTCAGTCTACTCTCATTTTCCACAAGATACTGCCTACATCCATTTCCAGCTGCTCCACACCCTTGTCCATGAGAAGCAGACTGCATCCACACTCTTCCATTAGAAAAGCAGCAAAATACAATTTGAAAACTATTTCTATAGCTCTCCTCACCCAGGTCAGCACTGTGGGGTCCTACATCCCACTGTGCTGAAGGATGAGCATGGTAAAAGCCCAAAATGCACCTGGGAACCAAATGCCTTTGGGCTCACAGGAGTTTGAGGCACGAGGCAGGAAGAGTTGTGTGCTGGTCCCTCAGCACAGCTGAAATTTGGCTTCGAGTGGCACAGGAAAAAGCTGCATTTCCTGAACAATACATGTGCAACAATGCTGCTCCTCCTCTCCCACTGCTTTGCCAGTGGGAGCTTCAAGCTACATTGTCAGAAAGTCAAGGCTTCTGCCTCTATCACACATAACAAATCAGAGAAGTGGTCTTGGGGTCAGCAAAAACAGATGGAGTACAACAAGAAATCTTGCTGTATCAAAATAAAGGAAAGGACTACTTCTTCACTGCCTGGTTAAGAAGCAATTATAATTCCAGTCACCCCCTTCCCTTCAAGTTTCCTCATACTCTCCTAAGTAACACACCTGTTTCTTCTGAAGCCACAAGACTTCCCAGCAGGGTCCAAACTTAGATGACAGATGCTTTCTGAAACCTTTGGAAAAGCCCTTCCGACCACTGTCCTTTCCTTTTTCTCTCAAGTGAAAGCTGCAACAGACTAATCAAACCCAGCTCAACTGTGCCAGTCCCTGCCACACACTGCACATGATCTCTAACTCAAGATGCAGGGAGAACTATACAAAAAAATATCCATCTTCTCAGAAGTTTCCTTCTCTCTGGCTAGAAGGATAATTAAATAACACAACAGCAACAGCATTACATTCTGAATTGCACCTGCTGATCTGCAAACCCTGTTCTCAGCCTTGCTGGAACCAACTGAAATGGCTCAGCCTGGAAAAGAGCAATTCATACTTTTCTGTGGCTCTACACTGAGACCTTACAAACTTACTGAGGAGAATCCTGTGGTGTTCACAGTCTCTTATCACAGAGCCCAGAAGACCACAGAACTCACTGCACAGTCAGCTGTCCCAATATTCAGTGAGGATTTGGGGCCTCCACCCATTGGGTGAGTACTGACACACTGCATGTACCAACAGGATCACCATTTGACCACCTCACCATATCATTTCCCCCTTCTCCTTTTCAAGCAAGGCTTAGAGGAAAACGAAGGTCACAGCCACAGAGGCAGTCTCCTGGACCATAAAACCTGCTGCAGCCTCACTGAGAAGACCACAGAGGAATCATCGTGTCACATTTTCACCACTCAAACAGGTATCTCACCCAGGTCAGCAAAAGCCAACCTCAAAAGACATCTTTAAGCAGGGTAATGCATGCACAGCCATCATTGCCTCTAGCAGTTGCTGCTGTTTGATGACCTATTCTCCCACAGCTGAACTTACCCTGCCACCAACAGAGACCCCAACAATTGCACTCACCTCTATGACCTCTGAAGGGGTTTCCAGTTTGAATAGGTGGGCTTTGGCTTTTGCCTTCAAATCTGAGATATCTTCATCGGGTACTTCCTTGGGCTCAGAAGGGGTTTCCAATTTTGATAGTTCAGCTTTGGCTTTTGCCTTCAAGTCCGAGAAATCTTTGTCAGGTTCTTTGTGGTATTCTTCCAAGAGAGGTTTCAGCTCCAGTGATTCAAATGGTGCCTGATCTTGGCCATCCATGGGTCTGACATAGGCAGTTGGTTTCTGCTGCATTGCACTGGCTTTTGATGTCAAGGATGGGGGAAAAGTCTGAGAGGAAGGTTGACTGGTGCTGGTCAAGGTAACGGCTGAGCTGTCTCGACTTTCCTTCTCCTGTGATCCTGTCACTGAGTCCTGAAATGATTTTGTTTGACTGTAGGTCGGCCCATGACTTTTGCTGCTCTTTTGTGACCTGGAATTGATACGCTGGCTGGAATGTAGAGGTGACAGGGGTGCCAATGGAGAAGACAACAAACATGGCAGGAACGGGGAAAGTGACAAAGGGGAGACCTGCAGTTCATCAGCACGATCTTCTCCATCCCCAGGCTTGCCATTTTGATTGTGCTGAAGACCTGCCTTAGTTTCCTGGCCACTATGACTCTGTTCTTGACCTTGGCTCCGAATGCTGGATAAGCTGGGCCTCTTGGTGTGCAGCCCTGAAGCTGGTTCTGTTCCTGATTGTGCCTTTTGGAAGTGAATGGAGTGGCTTGGATGACGAGGTGTGGCAACCATAGGTCCCACGGGTGGATGGCGGGTCGTGTGGTGGAATGAAGATGTTAAGTGATGGCTGGTCTTTTCAAGGAAGCATGGGCGATCAGGCTGTCCTCGTGGGAGCAGAGGAGCAACACTTTTTGGAATCCCTATGAGATTCTGACAGGATTTGTTACTCATTAACTCCTTGACCTCCTCATAATTGCCCAGCATGTTCTGAATTCGGCTTGACAACTCATCTTCTTTATTAGTCTGCAAGAGAAGAACAAAGAGGTAGAAATTTCAAAAGCACCCTGAGAGATCCAGCTCAGGAAGAACATTCCACAGGATCTTAATGTAATCCCCAAGCATCACCACAAGTGAAGTTAGGCAAACTCCTCCTGGTCCTGTACATCTCTCCAAAGCAAACAGGGCTGCTCTAGCCACTATCAGTTATTCCAAGCCAATTTGCAGGTGCACCTGCAGTCCTCAAGAGCACTGACATCAGATCTGCTTTTTAGAACCACAGCTGCAGACACACGGGCAGCCAAGCTGCTCTTGAGCATTCTCCCTCAAACTACAGGAGGCCAACCCAAAGTCCACACTGCTCTTGCACAGTCCACAGAGATTTAAGCACAAACTCTGAGGAACTGAAGTTAAGCAGATGCTGTGTTTGTATGTATCATGCTCAAGCCTACTACACACTACGCAGAAGCCACAGGTCTCCTCTTCCACCCCAACCCTCCTTCCTCCTTTCCCTTCCACCCACCCTTGCCATTACCTTGTAGGGTTCTGCAAAGAGGGGAGTCTTCCCAGAGAACTGGTCTTTCTCCTCTGGAACCTCCTGATTCCGTCTCTCTTTCTCTCGAATACGCAGCAAATTTCTGTCCTCGTTGCACAAGCTTTAGGAAGGAGAAAAAGAAAGGATAGTTAACACTTTTCACACCAGTGTTACCAACAAGTATCTGCTTTGTGCAGAAATCCTGGTTTTCAGACAATGGTATATGTAATGGTAATTTTGAAATCCACAGGATGGTTACAGCTGACAAATTTGTTATGTCAAGCGTTTGTTGTATCACACAGTAAGGTGACACACAAGGTACAGCATGAATCCTTCTCAGTGATTTCTACTCCTGATAGCATCCATCAAGAATGGTGGGAAGGGAAAAACTATCCACCCATTTAATTGTGATACAAACTGAAAAGCAGTCAAGAGGGGTGATAACCACATGAGCAGTCAAATCTGCTTGCAATGATCAATGTGAACAACCACCATTCCTGTTCTCCTTCAGACTTCACCCCAACTCTTCACCTGAGAGTACAAGCAAATCCACTAGTTTGAAGATGTTGACACTTCCAAAGATTGAACTTTGTCTACTTAGCAAAACACAGGGCAATACAACTTGGCAATAAACAGGCTTGAAAGCTTACTCTCTACTTTAAGCGGACATTTGGAAAGCTGCTTACCTGGAGAACCATGGAGCTGCATTTAAAGCAATCATGTAAATGTGTTTAGAAAGAAGGTCTCAGAAATTCAGAAAACACCAGGTCAAAACCCCCTTGTTCCTCCTCAGCCACATATCCATGCACTCAATTCCCCCAGTGCCACATCCCACCAGCAATAAGCTGTGTCACATGCACAGCAGGATGACTTCATGGAAAACCAGATCCTTTCAAGTACACCTTGTCTGTGAAATATCTCTGCAAGTCAAGGCAATCTCTTGCTCTAATTTTTATGGACATTGGGGAAGAAAAAATATGCAGGCATTGTGGATGCAGGTACCTCTCTCCTCTCCCATTTCTACTCTACTACACAGTCTACTGCATACATACAATTCCCATCTTTTTCTTCACACACTCAACTTCTCAAGTGCCCCAGTTTTCAAGGGAAGAGCCTTATCTTCTCCACCAGTGACATTTTCCCAAATACCACACCGATAATCAGCTCCTGAAAGTTTATTATCCCTAAAGGAGAGGACTGGATTTGCTGTAATGGTCACCCAAGAGATCTGACTGCTGCAGGGGGGGTTTCCTGTCTCAGTGGGAGCTCTGAAAGATGATGCTATCTGATGGCAAATTTCTATGTATGGAACTACAACAAGGATGTACTTGTAGCAATAAGACAGAAAAATGTATTGACTGGTTAGACCGTGCACATTTAACATAGTTTCCAGCTTTGCTAGTGCTGAACTTTTTCCAAATATAGCAAAACAGAAGTGTCCAGTGAGATCTATGTACCCCATTTCTGCAAACAATGCAAACAATCTTAAAAATGTACAAAAAAAGTTAAATAAAACAGGAATCACAGACCACTGCTTCAGTAAATACACACAATCCTTCTGTTATGAACTACATAATAGAAGCATTTCCCCTGTGCATCTGATGTCATTTTACATGTGAGCAATTTCCTATCTATAAGCAGTTGGCTGGTGAATTGCCCTGTGTGCCAGGAAAGCTTTGTGAAGTCAGGTATGTGAGATACCAGCTACAGAAGACAAAAACTTAGGGTGAATTACATGGCAAACAAGAAGCAACCTTGGCTACACCTATTACTCAAAATTATATGCCTGAGAATTATTTTTTAAGTGAATGCATTTCACAAAAAGCCAGGCCACACATTATGACCCTGCAAATTGTTTCTATTAAAACACTGTGCTGTGTCCATGTGGATTGCAGACATCCTTCTATTTCTAGGCTGGCAAGCATCCAAATTCAGAGCAATCAAGCTATTTTGCTCAGAGATTCTGACTACATTCAAACAAAAGGAAAACCCTAAACCATAATATTTACGATGAGAAGTAGCTATGTTTCCTATAAGTACTCCCACACTGAATGCAAAACAACTTACATGCCTCTCCTGCAAAAACAGCAGCTGTAACACCTCTAAAAGCCTTTTCTTTCCTTGAACCTTCCTTGACCCCAAGCTCTCTTCCCAGCAATAAATTCTTTTTAAAGAGTGTGTGAAGAGAGAGAGGAGGGGGATGGAGGGGAGGGGAAGGGACAACAGTTTTGCCTAAGTACTCCCACACTGAATGCAAAACAACTTACATGCCTCTCCTGCAAAAACAGCAGCTGTAACACCTCTAAAAGCCTTTTCTTTCCTTGAACCTTCCTTGACCCCAAGCTCTCTTCCCAGCAATAAATTCTTTTTAAAGAGTGTGTGAAGAGAGAGAGGAGGGGGATGGAGGGGAGGGGAAGGGACAACAGTTTTGCCATAATGCCATGCAGGTTTA